AGAGTCTCACATATAGAAGTAAAATAAGTAGTAACTCAAAGGCCAGGGACTGAAACACATCTATGGTCTTGACACTGTGAATTCAGTGCATTTCCCACTAGGAGACCTTCCCTTTGAAATGGGTCATTTTTAAGGGTTTTATCTGAAGAAAAGTGTGAAATGCTAAAGCAAGACTTCATCACTTCTTTGCAGCTTCATTTTCTTACATCTGTCAGTGCATGTGGCTTTCTTTCCTAGATTGTTTGTGGTGTGCAAAATCAATCTTGCAGGAACAACCCCATATTAAATAGAAAAATAAAAGCAGTATTAATGTTTCCTGGAAATATACTGCTTATGCTGTAAAATATTGGAGCTAGAGATGTAGCTGCAAGTTAAATATCTCAAGATAAATTAACCCAAATATCTTACAAATACAGGTATTTTCAGTGGCCGGTATTACAATTGAATTCTCTCCACTTTTCCAGCTGCTTCTAATGATTTTTCTGGGTATTTTTGTATGCAATCAGGCCCAAATTCTGCCCCTGGGGTCTCTAAATAAAGCTCTCTACAGAGACAGCATACCACCTATTCCTCTAGTAGCTGCACCAAAGTGGTAAACATGTTTGCATATTCTGGTCTCTTTGCTGTATAACAAGGTGCTTATGAAGGCAAGAAAGCTCAGCAAATTTAAGTGCTTTGCATTTTGAGGACAAGCTGTCTCTGTCAGCACTGTTTTATTTACAGCTCTGTTTCACTGAATATATGTAAAACCTGCTTCAAGACTGATATACCTATAAAGAGGTCATGTTTATGGAGTCAGAAATAGGTAAGCTCTTTGGCAGCTATATACTTTAGCACCCATGAAGCGATGGTGAGGTTGCAAATAGGAAAGACGTACACAAAAAACTCCAAAATTTTAATAAGCCTCTATGCATTCTGAGTTTTGGGAATCTGGTTCTGCTGCTGAGCTGTCAGTATTCTTGTCCCAGATACTGCTTGAACTTTTTCCTTTTTACCTTAACCTAGTATTTTGATGGCAAATGGGCAACAAAAGGCACACAAGAAAGTCTGAGCTTTATTCTTACAGAAGGAAAAACATTAAATGCTAAAGTGCAAGGAAAATTTTAAGATTTTGTGGCCAGAAGACTATATAACAAAGTATCCAAGCCTCTGTAATGGCTAGAAATAGAAGACTGGGGTACCATACTCCATCCAGGAGTGCATGTGGGGTTATTGTGTGATCTTGTGTAAGAAGGGTATATACATATGTACATATTTGACATGGCATTTTTGTGCTTGGATACTGTCCTGGTAAGCCTGATGTACCTAATCTGTTCTATCTGTAAAAGCTGTGAATGCAGTGTTCGATACAGTCACTGTACTGTGTCATCCTTGCACTATGGCTGAGGCACTGCAGAGGGTAGAGTTAAAGGTGGGGCTTTTCTGCACCCAAAATGTAGGCGTGGCGGCTGCCCTGCACCAGTGGGATAAACACGCAGCAGTGCCAGCTGGAGGCGGACTGACCCTTGCACAAGCAGCTTTCTCCGTCTCCTCAATCCCGCCCCGTAATCTGTAATTGCATCACATGCAAGGGGAGAAATTTGCCCTGTAGACATTCGTAGGAGGTTTCCCAGTGGATTCCCATGCTGCGGCAGGACAGCGTTGGCTTCCTGAGCTGCGGTCGCAGATGAGTCTGCAGGAGCATCATCGCCCTCCCTGCCTCTGCCTGGGCTGTGCCGGCCCGCGGTGCCCGCACGCCTCGTCACAGCTCCCTTCTCCTCCCTCCGTGTCAGCTGAGCTCGGTGACTGTCGCGATGCTGTCAGGGCAGGAGGAGACGACAAGGCACCATAAGGCAGGATGCTGCCTGCAGCGCACTCTTAGCTCGGGATCACTGCCCATCGGGCAATAAAATACAGGGACAGCACTAGACACTACAGGATTTCACTCCTGCTTCTCAGATACCCATTCCCGGCAAGGAGCAATCCTGGAAAATGTGACGGTACTTTGTTGGCCATCCTTGTGCTGTCCCTCCCATCGCACAGCGCAGCTCCGCTGCCGTGGCGTGGGCGTGCTGCTGCTCGGAGCCCGCTGCCAGGCGGGGGAGGCCGGAGCGAGGGGCTTCCCAGCATCGCATCCCGGGCTGGCTCCGCTGCCGACAGGCTCTGTGTGCGCTGCTACACTGATGGCTGCAGCACGGAGGAATACGTAGGAATTAATTCCGAAGGAGATACCGCCGAAGCTGGTGACTCAATCTGTAGCATCCTTTGCAGGAAAGGGTTAGTAAGACAGCAGGAAAGTCTCCGATCGGAGCTAAACACGTGTTATGGCCAGTTAGGAAAAAGCAGTGTGGTTTTGAGAAATGTCAGTCTCTTTCATGGCTAATGCTGAATTAGTGGGCTGTTCTGGGGCTTTTGCAATCACATTGTCAGTAACAAATATAGTCAACAGGCGTCCTTAGGGAGCTCTCAGCCTGGAGAATGGCGTTAGGAGAATGAGAGGTCATGTTCAGCTCCTGCTCACATTGCTGCTAGACAAGGAGTTTCACCTTTTTGTTAAAAAAATTTGTAAGACAGAAGTCACACTTACACAGGAGAATATGTTGCAATTGATATTTTATGGATAGATGCCAGGTTATTTTACTTAGAGATGTCTACCGAATGTGAGAAAATGTTTTTTAAAGTCTCCTAATAGCATTGCTGTCAAGCACTGCTACACACAGAATTGGTTTGAACATCACTTACACACTTGGAACCATTACTAGCAGTGACCCCTTTAACTTAGAAAATGTTCTCAAAGTTCCTATAAATAGCTACAGCCTAATTTTAAACATAAGTAGTCTCCTGTGCTAAGTGTTAAGCTTGTGTGTAGCTGTTATTAGAACTGGTGCCAGAAAGGTTACTTTGTGCTTTGCAGACACAGTTCCTCGTCTCAGGTGCAGCTCAGTCTTTCCAAAAGCTCTGCTGATGGTGTGGTTGTATTTTCAGGCTCCGGTGCCTCTTATCAGCAGCGCCAAGTTCTGCAGCTCTTGGTGCTCCAAGCCAGGCAGGTCAGGGAGAGGCAAATGTTAAGTCTTCCTACCTTGAAATGCTTTCGATAGCGAGATCTGATTATGATGTGATCTACTTACCCAGAGATGAGCCTTGGCTGCGGTTCCTGCTCTCTGTGCTGCAGCCAGGACTTGCTTTGGGAAAGCTGCTGGTGCCTTGCAAGCACAGGAATGTTTTGGGGACCTGAACTCCAGAGGTATGACATCCATGTGACATGTTTACCTGCTCAGGTCTTGTTTGGAAAAGTAGTTTTGGGTGTAGTATGGTACTGAGAGATTATTTGGAATGTACTTTAGTCTTGTAGATGGGAATGTTTTGTTTATCAGGAAAACTCTGTTGCAGCTTTGGACATCATGATTATTTTGCTTCCCTGAGGAGAGGGTCACTGACATCTACATCTGTAGACGTGATATAAATACCCTGTGAAACCAAGTAGCTTTGCTGCTCTCCCTCCCCTTACAAATTTGTACACAGCTCTGATCTGGTTACAGCTGTGATGATGTGGGTCTGGTTATCTGGGGTGTTGTAGTGGGTACAGAACTGGTTAGAGGTGGTAGAGCTGGGTCCCCAGAATTCCCCCTTGAAGAGCTAAGCTTTGCATCTGAGCAGTTTGAAATTGGGCTGAGAAATATTCTGGGCTGGGCTGATTCAGAGGCACAGAGAAATGGGGGCTGGTCTTGAACCTGATGAGGTAGGGAAGTATTGGGTTAAACCCAAACATGCCTTAGGGCCAGTTGCTAAGTGTTGCCAGATGATAAGCATGGTTGCTGGCTGTCTCAGCCTCTTTAAGGCTGTGAAGCCAGACTCTGAAGGCCTTTTACCAGTCCCAGGTATTCTGGGGTGCAAGATGCACCCACCACCATCAGCTCTGCAAAGAATTTAAGAGAGATTGAGCACTTGAAGGTCTGTCTGCCATAGTGGGGATGACAGTAACTGCAGGTATATCTCCCCTGTGTGGAAAAGATAGCAAAAATGGTAAGTTTGCAGCTGCTGTCTGGGGATGTCTGTGCATGGTACAAGACTCAGAAATTTGCAGGTGAGAGATATTCTCCCTGATCAACTACTTAAAGGATTTTGAAAAGTTATTTCCATCCCCTCAGCTAAAGTCACCGTTCACTGTTGTGGCTCTGCAGCAAGAGACTGGGGTATGGCTTAGGACATTTGCCGTTTGAGTGACAGACTTGAAAAAAAATTCTAACTTTGGGGTGTTGGGGTTTTTTTCCAGAGGGTAAGACTTTCTTAGTACATGTAGCTACTACTGACTTTAGCAAAACAAGAGCAGTTTTTCATGTATATACCATAGCTTGGGAAATAAAAACTGTGATGCATAGAAAATCAGTCATCAGACAGATGACTTAGTAACTGAGAAATACTTGAGAGCCACATGTGATTTTGGATTATTTTGAGGTTATTAGAACTGCCTCACTATGCTTCTACACTACAGTAAACATGCATGTGTGTATACATACATATATGAATAAGCTGTTAGCCTATGCACATTTTTATCTATATACATGTGTGTGAATGTCATCTCAGGAACCAGAACAGAAGCAGGAAGCAGTGTTTCTGTATGGTTTAAAGCATGAGAAATATCCAGTTACAATTGTGTGTTTCTCATCACTGTGCTCTTGAAGGAGCTACGTGAATAGCCTCAATTCATCTATTGATGGCTGCAAGAAAACAAACAGGTTGTCACAGCAAGTGTTCCTATCTGAGTCCTAAAATGGCTTCTGTAGCGTGAGGGTTCTGTGTCCAAATGTTTTTTCTGCTCTTGTTGAAGTGTCAGTTCTGAAGAAATACTGAAAATCTGGAACAAATCCAGTGCTTGTCCTCAGGGATGTTTGAAAATCCATGCAACTTCTGAAATTCACCCAGAACAGACAAAGGAAGGATGCTTGTGATTCACTGTTATTTTGAAAACAATCTGAGTTATAATTTCCATCATGTTTTTACTCTTCCCTTTTCCTTTCCAGGCAGTGAAGCTGATTTTAGCTCTTCAAGCAGCACGGGCAGTATTTCAGCACCTGAAGTCCATATGTCTGCTGCTGGAAGCAAAAGATCTTCTTTTTCTCGCAAGTAAGCAAAGCAATTTTTCCTGAATATTGCCAGTACGAAGATAGACTTCTGTGTAAGGTCTTGCATTTTAAAACAGTCAGGGTAGGACTAGGCTCTTGGGTAGCACACTGATGAGAACTGTGAAATAGGAAAGAAAAGAGAATTCTGATTTCGTGCACAAAAATTGTTCATATCCCAAATCAGCCGACTGTTGGGGGTTTTTTGTTTATTCATAACAAGTATGGGAGATACAATTAGGTAAGGCAGAAAAGGCATTGGCTGGAGTGGAGGAGAGAGCAACTGGGTGTATGTTAGTTAACATCAATACTTGTAGCCAGTTAACCTAAACCTTTTGGTCTTATCACTTTGTTTTATTGCTGCCATAAATTATCAGCTTGGCATACACCCTTCCAGATCATGATCTCTTTTTTTGCAGGAAGAAGTAGGCAATATTGCCTTTGATGTTTTTTGTTGGGTTGTTGTTTTGTTTTTTTTCTGAAATACTCTTGCCCAACCTTTAGATAACTACAACTATATGCATTTTTTTAAAAAATCATGTTTCTAAGTGAACCTTTCATGAAGGACTTCTGTAAGATTTCTCCCTGTCGTGTGTGAATTGCAAATTCAGACAGCTTGCTAACACAGGGGCATTAGGATTGAGCAGCACACATTGTGTTCTGCCCACGCAATCCCTGCTGGTTACATTTTGTGGAGTAGGAGGAAAGAGTTCAAATTGACAGGACTGGTTTCCTGCCCTTTGTGAAAGAGCTGGCAGGCAGGCTGGGACCAGCAGCAGGATACCCGTGTGCTTGAGTCCCACAGACGTCTTCAAGGTTGCAATGTGCCCCAGCACATAGAGATTGTCAGGATGATGCTTAATGAGTGGTTTCCAATCTGTATCATGAGACTGCTAGAAAAATAAACATTACTTAAGCTCTCTCTAGATTACATCTAACAAGTTACTGCCTGTGGGAAAAAAACGGTACTAAGTACAATCTGAAGCCCTAAAATCTCCTTACTCTCAGTAAGATTAATCACCTTACTTTCAGTGAGATTATATATAATTTCATATACTACTGTGCATTTTAATATAACTTTAAATTAGAGCATACTGACCTACTTCATAGGACAGAAGTCCTCTGTAATAAGGTTCCTTCAATGCATTGCTGTGTTAAGCAGTTTGTGCAAATTCTGCTGCACACTAGAGCTGATGATACACTGTATAAAGTAGAAAGAGATATCTCCTTTGCAATATGTTGTTTTTTAACTGTTTGACTTAACTCACTATGAAACATTTCAGTGTTGTCACAAACCACAGTCCTGCACTTCATAGTAAAATAATTATAAAATCACCCAAACCACAGCAGTGTGATGAAGGTTCACAGCAGCCACTCAACCATCTGTTCCTTATAAACTGTTCCATTTGCAGAGAAGGAAGCAAACCAAGTGAAACAATTTAAAGAAGAGATATTGCTTCATAGTTCTGTGGTATTTAAATTTTTATGTTCAAGTCTTCTCTTTTGCTGAATGTATTTGACTTTTTCCAGGTTTTTGGGGTTTTGTTGGGGCTTTTTTTAACCTGCCCTTTAATTACCATTTAGAGGAACAACTTCCATGGCGAATGAAGGAAGCACTGTAGTAGTGCAGGATGACAAATCAAGTAAGCAGGAGAGTAATGCATCCCGGGAAGCTGTCCTCAGAGTGCTCCAGCCCTTGGGCAGCTGTCAGGCAGTGAGGATACCAATTCAGTTCAAGCACACACGGTTGACAGATTATTTAATAAAGAGTGGGAAAAGGAAGGTAGATATGTATGAGAAAAACTGGGTGAAAGAAAGAAAAGGCTGTGCTTCCTATTGTCTATTTTAATACTATTTCAGCCTGCTCTCTGTGGGGTTCAAACTTTATCTAAGCAAATGAATAGCTGACCATGACAGATGAAGCACCCAGTATGCCAAAGGCAGAAAAGAACAGTGGCCCAAACAAAATCTGTTTTCACTGCACGCTGTGATCCCTCGGGCTGCTTGCCGAGGAGCATGAAAGCAGCCTTACAGCAATCCTCCGCTTGCAGGCACCACTCCACAGGCCTGGCCAGGGAAAGCTGAAGTGTGGTTCTTTTGGCATTAGTCCAGACCACAGGCCTCTCATTACTTAAAGGAGATTCAGGGAACATGGACGATCTGACAGAGTCACTGGGAACTGTGCTGTCCACAGAGAAAAGTGAAAATGGCTGAGGTCTCCCTAGATCACGTAATTCAGACTGAGAACCCCCCAAGTCAGTGAAAGAACATGCAGTGTCTGATAACATCAGGACTTTACTTCCTTCCAGCCACTCACTTAATTCTCTGGTTTAGTGTTTAGAGAACTTTGTGTGTAAAATGAGACGTATAATGGGTTGTGTGATGAGGATAATGCTTTCACCATTTCGATTCTCTTCCAGTCGTGGCCCTCATGGTCGGAATAACGGATCCTTATCCTACAAGTCTGGAACCAGCCCACCTGCTTCCCATGGAAAGGACCCTTCGTCAACACTGTGCAAAACCCATCTGAATCCTGCTAACATCCATCAGAGTTACAGGGCTTCTTCAGCCAGCAGCAGCAACTCAGGCTCATACAAAGGAAGCGACAGCAGCCCAGTGATGAGGTAAGTCTGTATTTCAGCCTCCTGGTGTTCATGGCACCGACTTACCCTCTCTGCACTGTAGTGTGGGATCAGCTGTAGGAATTGCTGCCCAGGGCACCTTGTTCCTCAGCATAGGTGCGACTCCTCTTATTGCTGGCTTGGGAGTCAACAGGCTGCTTCATACCATGTAAAAGCTTTATTATTTCAGCACTGTAAAATTCAAGTTTACTGTAAGTCAAAGCCCTTTGCAGTTGGTTTTCGCTCCAAGGCAGGCTACTTCATGCATTTTTGTGTCATCAGTTCTCATGAGAATTTACTGGTTCTTTTGCTCTAGGGTTCTTTCACTTTGAAGAGAGTTGGGTGGGGTAGTACAGGAAATATGATACGCTCGGGTGAAAATTCAGCCTGCCTCCCTAAGGATTGCAGTTTCCTGTACAGGAAAGAGCACAGATACCTGCCAGAGCACGTGACACATATTGCAGAGAAGAAATTGCCATCATGCTGCTGCTGTTTCCCTCAATCTCTCTCAGACAACTTAACAGCCAAGCACATCAGATGCACACCTAAAGCTAGATGGGATGAGTGTAGGTTTCAGGGTGCTCAGCTTTTTAACTGCTGTGCAGAGCGGAACTCCTTGTGTTGCCTCTCCTGGCTGTGTCTGCAGCTGGGTGCCCTTGCCAGGGGCCAGGTTGCCTGCTCTTGGGCACACCACCCATTTTGGGTTAAGGGATGGCTAGGTATTTTAAAGTCTTCCTTGATGTAATGACACTGAAGCCAAGTACATATATAGTACATTTTGCACTATAGCCTCAAATCAGCTATTCATTCAAGTAATTTGATTTACCAGAGGAATCACTTGTGTGGACACTGAGAAGCCCCAAATGAGTCAAGCTTTGCTTTATCAGTCAATTGGATGTTTTTCTTTCTGCCAGGACTTAAGAACTGGAGGAGTGATGTTATGTGATGGTTTGTTTGGGTTTTTTTTCAGGCGATCAGGGAGATACAATTCTTGTAGTGACAATCACAGCATTAAACCACAAAATCCAGAGCAGTATTTGACTCCTCTGCAGCAGAAAGAAGTGGCAGTACGGCATTTGAAAACCAAGCTGAAGGAATCTGAGAGCAAACTTAAAGAAAGGTAAACTTCACTTCAGAAATCAGTGTCAGAAAGATTTATTTGGGAACATTTGGGGGTGGGAATCCTGAATGTTTTTACTCATTTCTTGACCACATAAAGTTTTCATTAAGAAATTTGAAATATCATCAGTATGATTAGGTTGTTTTCAGGTATTTCAAGTTTCATACCAGCAGTTTAGTTATAAATATAGCTGTCTCGTTTCCCCTTTTGGAATTTCACAATTGAATATTTTTAAAGGATAACTTTTTACGAGTCTGATTTATACATAGAACAGTTTCTACCTGCCAGTATATATTACCTTAGTGTACTGTTCTGCCTCTCTCAGTGAAATATGACTGCAAATGTTTCCCTTCTCCCCAGTGAAAGAAAAGCTCACACCCATACCAGGGTGCCCACTTGTGTTTTTGTCACTTATTTACTGAATTTTTAATAATAACCTTTTGTATGGATGTTGACAAAGAAGTGACAATGTGCATTACAGAGCAACAGATGTTGTCTCCTTTACTAAAACTGCACTCTGAGAACTGGCTCTCCAGCACAGACAATCCAAGGGGATACAAAGGGCTGTTTGAATGGAGGCCCAAGACAGAGTCCCCAGGACCCCGTGGTCCACCTCAGCATCTATAAGGGCTGCAACTCAGATAGGGGCCTCCACACCCTACTTATTTGCAGCAGGCTCTGGCTCCATGCTGGGAAAAGCAAGCCAGGTTCTTGCAGCCCTGACCCACCTGGCTGTCTGAGGCCAGCATTGGCTCTGGCTGTACCTGAAAAGCTGCTGGCAGGCATGGTGGGTGAGTCCAGGCAGCTGTTTCCCATTTCCTCTAGGGTGAGGCAGTAGGTGATAGGTTAAGCACTGCACTGTTTATACCTGACCTAGAGGTCACCACCTGTGCCTCAAAATGTCTGAGATGCGGCACAGCCCACGAGGCTGTTGGTTGTGTCGCGAGGCTGGTGACACCCATTAGCGATCAGCCAGCATGTCTTGGCTCTCTCAGAGGTGGCCACAAATAGCACCTGGAGGAATTTCCTTCTTTTTCGGAGCATCTCTGCAGCATAGCCATGCCCATGTGATGAAGCCTCGTGATGACTTCAACTGATCAGTCAGCAGAAGTGTTACAACATTTTTATTTTGCTACAGGGAAACAGAAATAGAAGAGCTTAAAGCTCAGCTGGGACGGATGAGGGAAGACTGGATTGAGGAAGAGTGCAATCGTGTGGAGGCAGAGCTTGCCTTAAAGGAAGCAAGAAGTGAAATTAAACAACTCAAGCAGGTTATTGAAACCATGAAAGACAGCTTGGCTGAGAAAGACAAAAAAATTCAGAAATACTTCATAGACATAAACATTCAAAACAAGAAACTGGAATCTTTGCTGCAGAGCATGGAGATTGCTCAGAACCACTCTGTGAGGGATGAGCAGTGCCTGGAATACACGTCCGACTCAGAGGAGAAGCCGTTAGCATTGTGTGCCACCGTGCCAGACAGCCTCATCACACAGGAACAAGCTCTGGGGGAGGTGGCAGACAGTGAGGTGCTTCTTAGTGAGGACAGAGCTAACGGGACTGACTCATCTGCAGGGAGTTTGACCACCACAGCCTCCGAGTTGAGTGATCCAGCTCCCTTCAGTGCTGCTGTAACTAAAGAAATGCTTGAAATCGTTCTGGATGGAAAACTAACTTATTGCCAGGAGGAAGAGAAAAGTAACAACATGATGGTGGAGCAGGCTATCCAGACTGACGTGGTGCCATATAGCCTAGATGTGGAGCAGCTCATTCAAAATATCTTCAGAGCTCAAGATACCTGTCCTCTAAGCCCACCTTCTTCACTGAAGGAATTGGGTGAATTTTCTCTTGAAAGCTTCAGTGATTCTGGTATCATAGTGGACTTAACTCCAAGTGATCCCAATTCTGCCATCCTTTTGTCTCCTATGGAGTCTCCATGCAGAAAGGTGGAGCACGGAGTTAATGAAAATCGTTTCATGAAAGAACTTGATTTTACAGAACCTCATGATGATGAATGCTTTGAGTATGTCAATACAGGAATAAAGAGGAGATACTGGAGCAGCAGTCTCCTTGGAGATCTTCTGGCTGTAGCAGCCCCTGTTGTACCAACTATTTTGTGGGCTTTGAGTACTCAGAGAGGAGGAACAGATCCTATTTACAATATTGGAGCATTGCTTCGTGGTTGCTGCCTGGTGGCCCTGCACTCTTTACGCCGAACACCCTTCAATATCAAAACCTAAAGAATACTCTGTCCCTGGGCACCAACTGGCTGTAGCAGAGAGAAAGAGGGATGAAATAGATTATAAAAAGTTACTGTATATTCTGGCAGAGTCCATCATTTTGCTTTTGACTATTTGATTTGCACTATAAATCACTTTGAAAACATGTTCCTTGTTTTAAAACAAAAAAGCTGAAGGTGTTTTTAACAGATGTTTTTAACAGTACTGCTGCTTACAGAAATACTCCTCCTGCCCCCAGGCACAGATCCCTCCCCTGTGCTGGTGTCTTTCTTGTGCCAGTGCATCTGCACAGTGAACATGACCAGGGAAATCAGGAACTACAGCTAGTGCTCTTTTATGTCCGATTGCCAAGTTAGCATTAAGCTCAGTCACTTTCCCGGGATGGTTCACCAGCGAATGCACAAAGCACTTTGCACTGACTCAAGGGTGGTGTGAGATGTGCACGGGGACAAATGGCCGGAAAATGGTGGGGTATTTCTCTAGACAGCACTAACCTGAAACATCTGTGAAACTACAGTGTTAAGTAACTGAAATGAAGACTCACTCCCCTTAAGGTATCACTCCTGTGCTCCAGAAAGCATGCTAGCGCTTTCCATTTGTTGTCCCAAGTGTCAATTCCGTTTAGAGGTAAAACCCGTATTCCCCAGGCAGCTTCCAGCACATCGTTTGTGCCTGTCTTGTGTAGTGCTCTTCTCAATCGTGCAATTGCTTGAGCATTTCACTTGGTCTTGTGCGTATACAGGGACTGTAACCAAAAATGTACACTGTTGGGAGTCTTCACACTTGTTACAATGATAAGTATAGGCGTGGATACACTTTGACTCTTAATGTTGTTTTAAAGTCTTAATGTATTGGAACCAGATAGTCTTTTGAGCCCTTTGAAATACTATGTATAAATGTATTGTGTTTTAACTTATTGTTTATTTAATTGCTTAATTGTAAATTATCTTTATAATCACAAATTCAGTAAAGCATGATAGAAATGTCAAATGTGTGAGAGTTTTACTGTAGCAAAGATATAAGAAAATAGCCGATCCCAGCTGAGCTGTCAGGTACAGCCTGAGCAGTCTGTCGGGTCCTATTACAGTGAAACAGAGTTAGACTGAGAAAACCTGAGTACAGCACCAAGAGTAAGCTCTCAGCCAGGCTCATTAAAGGCTCCAGTCGGTCTGCAGACACCACACCCTCTGCCACCTCACACTGCGTTCACAGATGTGACCTAATCTTTAACCCAATGCGATCAGCCAGAAACCTGGAACTTCACATTGCTGCAATACCAGGACACTATCAGTCTTTCTGGCATTTAACAGAGGTCCAGGAAGCCTCATTTAACCCAGCTGACAGTCATGATGTCATGTCACACTGTGACCATCCAGTCATTCTCCATGTCCAAAACCTAGGATCTGTGGATAGATCAGAGGAGGGCAACACAACCCAACAGATGAAACAGTGCAGTCTGTCTGGCTCCAGCCAAGCTTTCAACACCACCTCTAGCTATTTAAACGTTACTGGCCTCCCATTTTTCCCTTCAGCAAAACAAGTGTAGTATTTCCCTATGGAACCCAGAGCAGATGGGGCCCAGTGAAGCCTGACACTGCCATGCCTTGCTCTGCAACTTTTGGGAAGGGAGTTACAAGTAATCCTCAAGGGAGAAGTATAATTAATGGGCCAGTGTACAGGGAGCATTTGCAACACGCGAGGGGGTGATGTGCACTGACACACAGGCAACTTGGGCACCCTTCATGTCCCTGTGATGCCTGCGTTGTGAATTGTTGTGTGTTTGCAACAGAGATTCTAGAGGCTTAATTAAGCATTACATTAGGTAAGAGAAATCTAACAGATAATTTGATGTAAATAGTCCCCAAGAGTTCACAGAGATGGACATGAGAGTATCTTGCTTGCTTTGCCGTAACTTCCTCTTCCGTGTTCTCCCGTTTTGGGTGCTTGCAGCCAGCTGGCTTGCCTTGTGACACTGCTGCAATGGATACTGCTCAAAGGTTACTTTCAAAAGCAAAATTATATGGACTTAGAGTCAAAATAATTAGTTGGAGGGTTAATATAAATTTTACACAACCATGGAACTTTTAAAATCCTAGATATCTCCTCTTGGGACTGAAACATATTACAGAAAATGCCTTATTGTTCCTACTTCAAAGTATGTCTGTGCAAGGCCAAGAGAGCAGTATTTTATACGTGATGTTACAATGTTGGATTTCTCTTTTACTGCCACTATTGTTTAAGTGACCTTTGCCTTGAGGGATTGTGAAATGGAGCATAATTTACAGGAAAAAGTGATCTTCAGTTCTAGGAGATACATTCACCTGCAACTATGGGGGTTTTTTTGCAGCAAGAGGCACCAAAGCAGCACAAACCCACATTTAAAAAATGCCAATAGGCCAAACTAATTTCAAACCATGTTTTGGGCAGGCTACATTTAGCAGTAGTGTTTTTAAATGTTAAGTGTTTTTAAATGTGCTGTTTAAGACACAAGGCTAACACCAGCATAACATCAGAGTTTCTTCCCACCCTTAAGAATCTTTTAATCTGCTCGGCTCTCATAAGGCACTCCACAAGAGGTGACAGAATTCCCAACACTCCAAGTAAAAAGCCCTTGCTCTGATCTCTATCCAAATTCAGCTCACATCCAAACCTCCACCTTTCCTCCTCCTCAAGGAGCCCTTTGTAAGAAGAGGCCTGAAGTACCATAATAAATGCTCCAGTCCCAGACTTCAGGGAAACTGGGCTTTGTTCCATAATCTATAGAGGATATGCCAATTGTTAAAAACACACCATCCTATTTTTTTTCCTCCTCTAATACTACACTTTAGTCTTAGTCATGCCTCACCTGGATCCCACTGGTGCTGTACAGAGTACCTAGGACAGGACATCAGCCTCCAAACAGTTCAATAAAAACTCCCATCCTTTCTCCTGAGTTTAGAAGATGCTCATACCCACACCTGTTCACACCAAAGTCTTGTCTCAAAACGTGCAGATGGAGAGGACACTCAGCACACAGGTTAAGGGTAAAATAGCAGATATGTGCTTGAATTCAGGCTTATAGCATAGGAACCAAGTCAGTTCCTTCCCGGGCTGAAGGGATGCCTGTTGATAATTCCAATAAACATTTTCTTTCTAACCCAGGAACAAAAAAAGCCTTTCTTTAATATGCACCTCAAGAGGTACCCAACGTGCCCCTAAGCTGCTGAAAGAGCTGAGACTCAGGCAGTAACCCCCTCACCACCAGAGATTCCCCTGTACCCTTCACAGAATCATAGAATGGGTAAGGTGGAAAGGGAGAGAAAAGGAAGAGCCTATGGCAGCAGGAGGAAAAGAAAACAACTGTAGACAGTGGGCATACAGGATCCCTCAAGGAAATCAAACCAATGGAAAAGATGGCGTAGCACTCTCACAATAAGTTTACCAAAAGTATTTTCATGTTTGTTTAGGATAAAGATCAAGATATAGGAAGAAGGAAAAAAGAGAGACCACAGAAAAAAGATGAAACAGGTAACAATGCCTGGGTTGTTACCATGCAAGAGACTTCCTCTGAGAGCAGTGTCCTCCCTCATGTCAGCTCAGGGCAGAGATGGGAGGAATCTCTAGAGCAGCTATGCTTAAGTATGGGAAGGTAGACAGAAGGAAGAACAGAAAAGCAATACAAGAGGACTGACATGCAGGATGGCAGCAGCACCCAAAGGTTTTTAAAATGGCCGAAGGCACAAAAATAAGATGTGCTTACATGATGTATTCAGGGGGTTTGTTTGCAACTTAACTAGCCCATCTGTTGTTATTTTTAATAAATAGTATCGATTTGCATCTATTTTACATTGTCTCAGAAACAGCAACACTAAGCGCTATTTTTTTTAAAATGAGATGCAGCTTCCAACAGGTTTCACCTTAAACAGGCAGAAGATAGTTTTCTCACCCTGTGTCAGCAATAGTGAAAGAATTATGACTGGTACCTCCTTGCTTCTTCAGTGCTGTTAAAAGGACAAACACAGCTTGTTACTGAAGCTTATTCATACACTTCCTCATCTCCCATCCACTGTCAAATACTTTAGAGGTGTTTAGTGGGAGCAGATTTACCTTGTCATACGATTGTTTAGTCTGCATTGAAGTAACTCATTCTACTCTAGCCAGAACACTCGTGCAGAAAAGATGCACAACAGTGTTGTCTTCTAAATATATTTTAAAATTTAATATCTGAAAATTGCTGTAAAATCAGATGTCTCGTGCAAGATTTAAAGCTACATGACAAGCATACAAAACATTTTTAAAAACTTTTGTCCATGACTGAGGCCATTAAAAGTAATTCTAACTGTCTTGTTTTCTCAATTACTTATTTTTTAAGCAAAACTTGTGCCAGAACCTACAACTTAGTAAAAAATTCTGTTTATCTAAGCAGGCAAGATCTAGTCACATGGCCCCCCCACCCCTTCCCATTCCCTTAGAACTTCACTGTTTTCTGTAGGCACAGGAAACAATTCCCATGCACAGAACAAGCTAACTTCACTCCTCTGTCATAAGGTAAGTAATCCATACAACCCACGAATTCAGGATAATAGCATCTACACAACAGTGGAAAAGGCATCCACCAAAGCACTGGGCTGGACACCAGCAGTACACAGACCCCCCTCCTCCTATACACTTCTTTCCAGCAGACATTAAAATTCTCTTCCTTCACTAAAGCACTGTTGCCTTCTGCTGCACATTTACCATTCACACTTTACCCGGGGAATTCCTGTGTAAATACATACAGTAAGTATACAAAAAAAATTAAATTTGAAGTGCTTGTAATTGAACAGGGAATTTTCACGCTAGCATTTTTAACAGCAGGACATGAATTTTTTTTCTCAATTACACTACCTATGCAAGGAGTGTAAGATGTGAGGATTCCTTTCCTTAAATGTAGGAAGTATTTCTGCTAGAAATAAATTTACCAACACAAGTAAGTCATTAAAACACTCCCTTACACTCACAACATCAGCCTTTATAAAAAAGGTGCACTACTCTTGTGTAGTGATGCTACTGCTGGTAGCCATTGCATCGTCACTCGTAAATGGATGAGGGAGCACAGGAAGCTGCAAGTTGATAGTGACAAGAAATCCACTTTTAGTGTTCAGCTGTAACTTGTGCTCTACTATTGCATAACCTACCAGGAGGACACTTTGAGTTGCAAGTCATCCATAAGTTATTTTCTCCTGCACAGGTCAATATGATCTCCCATGAAAAACTCTGAGGTGTTTGTAAATACATTGATAAACAGGCAAAAGCAGACATTTTTTATCAGGCAGGAAGCAAAGGATTCTTTAAAACTGTTTAATTACATGTTTCAGGTAAGCACAGACAATACAGTAGATTTCCCACCACTCAATATTTACATTCTTTTCCCTAGGCTTGAGCTGTTCATTAAGTGTTTTTCAATCAACATCCTTGTCAATCACTTTTGCTCCAAGGAAGGGTGCTGGAATAGAACTATTGCAGGAAACATTCCATCAAGGCATGATTTTCTGTGGGGTTTTTCTCCTTTAAGAACCATGTACTAGTAGTTCAAGATATTTTGGGAAAGTCCTGGCTTCCAAGATGACCTGAAGAATGCACTGAAACCAAGCACTGCGTTGAAGTCTATAAATAGTTAAATCAATACCCATATGTATGTTGTAGAGTTGAAATTCTCTTTTCACCAACACTGCCACTGATGCCTGGTTTCTGTTAGGACAGTTTTACACCAATTTTGTTTTGTTCCTTTTTCATTAGCCTTTGTGCCTCTTTCTCCATTTTCTTTCGCTGTTGTTCTGCTGCTCTTTTTTCCCTTTCTGCTATCTTCTGTTGCCTGCAATTAAAGAAAACATGAATTGCTAAAAAATAGGAATTCAATTTTTCAGCATGGTCATACCTTAAGTTCCTGCTAATACATAGTTTATTATAACTAATAAAAACAGATCTTCAGACTACTGTTGTTAGGCTCAGAAGACTTACTTTTTTATTGT